TACATAGCCTTAACCCCGGGAGGACTACTACAACCTCAAGCTCTTATAGACAGAATGTGGGAAGAGGTCACTATGAATTTTATAGATGGGTTATCCAAATAAGAGGGGTTTATAGTGATTTTGTTGGTGGTGGACAGATTGAGCAAGTATGCTTATTTCATTCCCCTACGACAGCCATACATGATAGTGACAGTGGCAGCGACCTTTATCAGAGTAGTGATCATATTGCATGGGATACCAAAATCTATAGTGTTTGACCAAGATAAAGTGTTTCTCAATTATTTTTGGAGAGAGTTGCTCGGGCTATAAGGGACAATATTGAAAAGGAGCACTGCTTATCACCCCCAGACAGATGGACAAACAGGCAAAGATTGTAAATAGAAGCCTTGAGACGTACTTGAGATGCTTTGCTTCAAAGATACCTCAACTATGGGACAAGTGGCTAGCATGGGCAGAGTACAGGTACAATACTTCATATCATTCAGCTTCACAGATGACTCCTTTCTAAGTGTTGTATGGAACGGACCCACCTCACTTGGTGCACTTTTAGGGCTGCAAGCGAACCAAACGTTCGGCGAGCTACTCGTTGTTCGGTTCGATTAAAGCTCGTTTGCGATCGTTTAATTAACTAAACAAACAAACTTGAACAATATTTTAAATACTCAATTCTTAAATAAACAAACTTGAACACTAATGCGTTCGGCTCATTTATGTTCGCGAACAACATCATTTGAAGTTCGTGAACAAGCTTGACATTAAGCTCAATAAGAAGCTCAATAAAAGCTCGATACATGTTCGATTTTGAACTCGTGAATAAGCTCGATAAAAATAATTAATATTTGACTATAGAATTAATAAATATAAATAATCATTACCTTTGTTACATAGACAATTGCTTTTATTATAAATGTATTTGTTCATAGATATGTTCATGAAGGTGTTTGTTTGATAGTTAAAAAATTCGTTAAATATGTTCGCGAACAAGCTCGATAAACACTAAACGAACGAACATGAACCAAACATGAACACTCCTTAATTTAAATGAACCAAACATGAACACAGACGCTAAAGCTCGAACAAACATGAACCAAACTTGAACAAGCTGATATTAAATGAACACAAACATGAACACTCACATACTCGACTCGGCTCGGTTCGTTTGCAGCCCTATGCACTTTGGGCAGAATAGCATACCAATTTCTTCAGTAGAGCAGTACTTAGAGGAGAGGGATACGGTGGGTGTTGGTTGAACTAAAAAGACACTTGTTGAGGGCTCAAAAGATAATGAAGAAGCAGGTGAATGGGCATAAGAAGGGCATCCAGTTTGAGATGGGGGATAGAGTCTACTTAAAGCTTCGTTCCTACAAACAAAGAATGATAGCTAACAAGAGGAATGAGAAGCTGCGACTAAAGTATTTTGGTTCTTATGAGATATTGGAGAGGATTGAAGAAGTGGTTTATTGATTAAGGTTACCATCGACTGATACTATACATCTAGTGTTTCACATGTTATAGTTGAGGAGAGCTATCAAAGATCATGTATCCAATTCAAAATTAATTGTGACACTGACAAAGGATTTGGATATGATGTTGGAATCACTGGAACTGAAAGGGGTAAGACAGGGAGGGAGAGGGATCAAGAAGTGCTGATAAAATGGAAGAACCTATCCAACTATGATGCAACATGAGAGCCATATGAGAGAGTGAAGCATCAGTTTTCATCCTTCCACCTGAGAACAAGATGAGTTTTTGGGAGGAAGGATATTGTTAGATAAATCCAAGAGGGACCAACCCTCGTGTAAAGGAGGAAAAACTCCTGTTCCGCCCAGTGATTCCCACCCCCCTTTGGGGTGGGACCCATGTAAGAATTTGAATGAGAAAGGGGGCGCTAGGAGGGAAAAGGGAGGGGCTGTTTTGGTATTTTGTTATGGATTATTGTATGCTTTAAGAATATTTCTTTTCCTAGGATTAGATTTTATGTTTGTTTTGGCTGAATTTATATTTTCTTAGGTTGTGAGGGCTCTAGCCGGCGGCCAAGGAGTTGGGAGAGCCGGATTTTCCTTTTCAATTGAAGATCTAATTGTATCATGCTTTTCTCTTCATAGTTTTTTCAATAAAAGTTATTTTTGGGAGTTCTTTCCAATTTTTGTGTTTTGTCCACTGATATGCTGAAAAGTGCAACCACTTCCTATCAGAGTCATGGTTCTTATATTTCATTTATAGACAAAGGTGTAATCATGCATAAAAAGGACTAGATTTGAAGACGGGAGAAGTGACAGAATGCTTGGAGAAGTGGTAGCATGCATGATGAGTGGCATTGTGAATGGAAAGAGGTGTGCATGGGATGGAAAGATATATATATATATATATATATATATATATATGTATATATAAAAGAAACTCTCTCTACACAAACTAATACAAAGTATGTACCATCAAATAATAGCCTTTGAATTATATTCATAAAAATATCATAAATAACAACCTAAATATAATTTTAGAGAATAAAAAGATTTCTTTTCCATTTATAGCAGCTTTCATACAAGCAAACTGTCTACAGCTGAAGTTAGTCAAATTATTTAGCATAATGGGTTTAAACAAAAGTGCAAGAAAAAAACTAAACTATCTTTTGCTGTATTGTAAAACTAAAAATGAAATAAATTTACAAAATTATTATTATTTTACGAGATGAGTTTAATTAATTAGTTATAGTATATTTCTCATATGAAGGAATCAATGTTGATCCAAATTTTAGTTGTTTTAATCCTCGTTAAGGATGCGAAATAATTAACAAAAAGTTTAAAAATTTGTAAGAAAATGTTCCATTAACCTGTTTTATTCATCGTTTCATGTTTCATTTCTGACCACTGATTTTAGTAAATACAACCATTTTCTGTTTGATCCTAGAAGCTTTTCACAAGATTGTAGGTCATATTGACATTCATCAGACAATGCAGCGATGCACTTAGACCAGTATTATTACTCATCAAGAAAGTTCATGCAAAGTAGTGAAGATACAAAAAAACAAAGACACAATATCAAATATTCTAAGAGAACCTAAACCTTTTCTTAGCTTCACTGGATATTATGTCCTACAGAAGGATCCAAAAATAATAATATAAAAATGTAGGGTGACTCATAAAACTCAATAGGAAATTCTATTATTATACTAAAAGATCTAATTGATTGATGCACATATATAAATATTTTTGTTAAAAACTTAGCAGAATTTTAAGATGGCTACAATAACCAGACTAAATCTTAACAAAGAAGCAACCTACAGGTCACTATAACCTCTTATCAAACTCATAAGAAATAAAAAACTCCCATACTTATATCTATATAAAGCACGTTTGGTTGTAAAGGCCTTTAAGGAAGTAGAAACTAAAAAATAAAATATGCTCACAAAGACCCATACATAATATATATATATATATATATATATATATATATATATATACTTGCATGCAATACACTTAAACATTTTTGTGTTAAAGTGATATTTATAAAAAACTACTTATATTTTAACTTAGTAACTTAAAAACATAGAACAATGGTTATTTAATGTTTTTTTTGTTATAGTTATTATGCTTAAAAAAATCTATTTAATAGAAAATGTCTATTTATCTTCTTAAGTAAAACATAAATTATGAACATCATATGATAAACATAATAATTGTGAATAATTAAAAAAAATATAACTGTGCATAAAATGCATGCGAACACCATAGATTTTACATTAAAAAGATAAACACTGAATTTCCTACAAAATTTGAATGGCCATAGTATACATTCAAGAACAAAGGCCGAATTATGAATCATTGTATTTTTTTATAATGTTACCAAGCTTTCTCTCTCAAGACCTTAATTTCTCTCTCTTACTCTTCTTTCTTCCTCACACCAAACTCTAACAAGAAATGTCCCTTGGTTACTTCAATTATTCTACTTCACAAAATCTTGTATGAAAAGAAATAATGGTTCTTATCCCATACATGGATGGAAGTGGATACATGCATAAAGAGCACTTAATATGAAAAAGGGAGAAAAGACAGTGCTTGCAGAAGTTGCAGCAGTCGTGGTAAGTAGCCTTGTGCATGGAAAATGGCGTGCATGGGAAGTAGACTTTTAAAACATCCTACAAATTTTATTTTACTCACTTAAAGGGACTTAAAATCAAAATATATTATGTTTTTAGAAACCATCAAAAACTTCAAGACAAACTAAAACTCATTATACTCACATCCAATAATAGTCTTAATAGTACATTCACATGAATATTATAAATAGAAACCTAATAGAATTTGGTGAATAAAATAATTTCGCTTCCATTTAAACCAGTTTTCCAAGCAAGCAGAATGATCGTAGCTTAACTTAGGCTTCGTTTGGGACGGCTTTCTTACTGCTTCTTAAAACAACTTTTTAGTATACAAATTTTATTTGTCGTATAGAAAGCTATTTTAAGAAGCAGCAGGAAAGCCGTCCCAAACAAAGCCTTAATCAAACTAATCTTTAGATTAATGGGCTTAGACAGAAGTGCAGGATAAAAATTAAACTATCTTTGATTTATTGTAGAATAAGAATATATATATATATATGTTTACTACTTTAATAAGAGATGAGTTTAATTAATTCGTAATAGTATATTTTTATTTTTTTTTAGCATGGATTGGATGATGAAGGAATTAATGATGATCCTAATTTTAAATGTTTGAATGCTTGATGACGATACTAAATAATTAACAAAAACATACAAAAATTTAGAAGGAAATATTCCGTTAACTTGTTTGCCATTTTGTGTCTAACTATCAATTATGGAAAATTTCAAAAGCAATTTGATTTTTTTTCCTCAGTCCTAGCAATGACATGCTTTGTTTATTCTCAATTATAAATTCAAAGTTATTGAGAAAGAAAGAAAACATAATAATTAATAAATATCCTAGAATTAACAAACGTCCTTTAGTATATTAACGTCCATGTGGAAGGAAAAAATCATGATTTACCAGATTTAGAAAGCTCGCTATGTTTTGCATCACCCAGATCTACTTTCCAGCACCTGCTTGTCGAATGCTTTCTATACCTATGCTCTCCTAAATGTGGCTTTGAAGCCTTAATAGTAGTGGTGCAAGGATGAGCGCACCGGGAAGAGTTTTCGTCATCATCACTATTTACAGGTAGTTCGAAACCATCCCAAGAATTGGGGAAAGAACTACTGTAGGGATCATTATCCCTAGAAATGTGAACCTTCATGCTGCTCTCACACCTAATTAAAGGAGGCTTAGCATCAGATTCAACTGAACCATCTAAGTTATAACAGCTTGAAGGATTTCCATCTGTTACAGCTTTGTATACTCGACGCTCAAGTGAATGAGTTGCCTTACAATTTCCAGCTATAGCAGGTTCTATACCTACTTCACCAGAAATAGAAGATCCTCTTTCTCCCATAACGTCCTCATTTGATGAGCCAGAACACAGGGAAACTAAAGAATTTTCTAACAATTTCAGAGTCATTGAGTGTTCCTTCCAAGAAGAGGTTTTCTGCTCCAAGATGAAGCCACTAGTTACTTTACTCGCCTTAGGGTGGCTATCCTGAACAGGAAACTCATCATTGCATATCTTCAGTTCATTAAATATCTCCTTCTTAGAATCAGATATTGAGGATCCTGGAACATCACAAATAGCTGAGGAGTTATCTTTCTCAAGTAACTTTCCTGCCACAGCTGCAAGCAAGTCGAATGCACATATCCGATTTCCCAGATTCCTCTTTCTAACAGATCTCTTGCCCTTTAAAAATTAACCATTTTGAGCGGTGAACCCTTCAAATAACTTTGTAAAATTAACAAAGCAGCTAGTAGTATACCTTTGCTGATACAGGGACATGAGGAAATGAAGGAAAATGATAGCCATTGACTCTATAGTCTAGTTTCCTCTGCAGCACCATGTCTTAGACACTCATGTTAACAAGATATACAGCAGAACTTGCAGTTTTGCTATCAACACTGCTTACAGAATCCCATTTTCAGACCAAGAAATGAAACTGCAGGTCACAAAATACATAAAGAACGTTATCTGTTAAGCAGCTGAAGGAATGTGTGGTTCCACAAAAGACTTGGTTTCGTTTGGGACGGCTTTTTTACTACTTCTTAAAGCAGCTTTCTAGTACAAAAATTAAAATTTTTTTCTAGAAAGCTGTTTTTAGAAGCAGGAAAAAAGCTGTCCGAAACGAAGCCTTAGCCTACAACATAACAACTTGACACTGTTAAGCTGACATAGAATTGTGACTTAGAATATTAGAGATAACAGTCCTGGCTTAGAACACAATGCTCAAAATGTTACAGCATAAACCGATGAAAAATACAGCAGCATCTGAGCCACATTACAAATCACATACAAAATCAAATTACCAAAATATGAATCCATATAACAAGAGCAAAAACAGTGTCTTTTAACAACACATCCGATAAGATGATTGATTTAGAAACTGCACTTTCAATAAAATAAAATAAAATAAACAATCTTAACAACATCTAAAGTTGAAAAAAAATGGTAAAATGTTTAAGAAATTCTTCAGAATGAGGATAAAATCCTGGTTAGTTTATAAAACCACACATAATTTCACAGAATGATCAACCCCTTTTTCAAGAAAGACTAGAAAGCAGTAGGCACACCAGCACAGATGCTTGCTACTAAGCTTTCAGATGGAAAACCTTCACCTATGCTGCTTCATGTAATGTATGATGAAATAAAGAATATAACAAATATTATGGGTAAAAAGGTTATACCAAGCACATTTTGATAAAGAACCTAAAGCCTTCCTAAAACCGAGACATGTATTAATATATGCAGAGATTTCCAGCGTTAGCAGATCAAATATCTTACCTTAAAGCACTTTGAGTGATATTAGATCAAGCCATGTTTGAAGATGAATCAGCCTAGATTAGATAATATCTGCTTCTGCACACAACTTCCTGCGCCCATAAGAAAAAAAAATTTCCCAGGCGAGGATAAAGGAAGGAAATTTAACACAAATCCCTCAAGGGATCGCGCAATCTAGCGCCTGGAAGGAATCCGCAAGGTTTAAGAAAAAAGAATTAGATCCAAAAGAGGAAGCCTATTAACCTGATCATGGAAGTTTTAAAATTTCTATTGATACGCCAATTAAAGTATCAATATCAATATTTATTGAATTTAAGATTAGGAAAACCATTAGCCTCGTGCAAACATTTGCTTCTTCTCCATGAGCAAATCCCATGTAATCATGAAACCAACGAAAGAAAGATTCGAAGGAAAACCAGCCAAACGCACGAACGTCGCCGAAATCGGAGACAAAACTATTGCCAAATTGCGCCCAAAGCTGTCATTAAAAACCTTTCGATGAAATTCGGACCGAAAACCGTCCGGCTCACCTCCGAAAGAAAAAATTGCGCTATAAATGCATCAGATTCACTAGATTCTCGCCTGAGCAATAGATCGTCGGGAAAAACTCAGAATCCGCTGGCGTCCGACATCGAGAAGATCGAAGAACTTTGAAAAGCGTCTCAGTGATCCCGGTCCCAAAGCTTATGCTGCTCTTTGTTTCTTCCAAATCTCCAATCCGACAACAAAATTTCCCTTTGAATATTTGTTTAGCTGTAATTTATCTCCATCCCTTCTCTCTCCCCCATTCTCTCTCTCTCCTTTCTCTCTATGATCTCTACCGACGAGATATCCAAAACCCAGAATACCACCCCTCTTGCTTGCTTAAACCCCATCAGTTAATACCATTGACCACGCCATCGGTCCATCCGTTGGAACCCACACGTCTCCCGCCAATCGTCGTTCGCTAAACAGCCACGACGGCGGTGGGGTATGTTATTAGGATAAAATTAATTTTTTTTAATAAACTTGGTCTTATTCAATTAATTGATTAAGTTGCCAAGTTATTGATTTAACTAAATTTTTTTACTTTACTTGCCTTATAATATTTGAAACTAAAGAAATATGCCCACTATTTTGTATAGAGAAATATATTTATTTGATTAGTTCTTTAAAGCTTATGAAATATAATTTATGTTGCATGGATTTGTCAAATATTATTAAAATTGTTAAAAATAAGTGGTACTCAATTATGATTAACATTGGCGAGAAGTACATTGATTTTAAATTTTGAATTTGCTTTACTCATTAGCCTGAATTTTAGGAAGTTGTTATCTAGTGAAGACTTATAAGATATGAGCAGAAACAATAGACTATTCAATAACTACTTCAATGGGTATAAGAATTTCAAGAATACAGACTTAGATAGGGCTTTCTTGATGCACATTACGCCAACTAATGTGTGAAACCTTTGACCATATTTCTTTGTAGACGATATATTCCTCATCCATGAAAAACATAGAGTTATTTTCAAAAACATACTTAACATGATTGAGGATGATGAAGGATTCTTTAAATGCACATGGGGTAGGGAGGCATGGGAGATAATATTAAATGGCATGAATAGAGATATCATCATTATGAGTCCATTACCTTGAAGAAAAGTGCAACCAACTCATTACACTATAATTGGATATGCAGCATCTCGATAGTTTTAAACTTATGAACCCACACCAAAGATTAAAAAAAAAAAAGATGTGATGAGTTCCTTGGAAAGATAGTACCAAAGATGTTGAGCTGGAAGGGTAATAAGGTGCTAACTAGAAAGATTTGTTAACATCTACAGATGAAATAAGTGTGGGTACTTAGGCTTTGTTATATCCATTATAATATAAATATCAAACTATTTCATATATTCTTTGTAGGTAATTGTCCATTATACATTGGTGCTCATAGGGATGATCAAGACTTGTAGAAATCCGATCAACATATGCACATTCAATCCATTCTATTTGTATTTTTGAAGGAGATAGCAGACCATCTATTTCTAAGGAGATAAAAAGGGGTGCAAAAAATAATTAAGGAGCAAATATGAATTAGCTTTTTGTTATTATACAAGAGTTGAGGAATGGATTAGTTAAGCATGATTAATCAAATAAGGTTTGTGCAAAAAATTGGATGTTATAACAATTATTGTTAGAAGGCTCATGGATAGGGAGTAGCAAAAGAGGAAAGAGGAGAGTTGGGGAACAATGAGGACAGTTAGAAAGTGTGTAATGGCCCAGATTTTTAAATACCTAATAAGACTGATGAGATTTATACATAATATATTATATAAAATGCATTATATTGATATATGATAGTGATATATGACACATGACATTTATATGATAGTAATGACCCCAAAGTTTTGTTACAATTTTTATTTATTTTTATTATAAATTTGATTAAATCAAAAATCAAATTATATTACTTTTTTAATATTAATTCAATAAAACTCATGAACACTAATAGCATAAATATATTTATTTCATGTCAAAGTTATATAATTCAATAGATATTATTTATAATTTTCCTTATAATATGCTATGTAGACTAAAGATATTTAAGTTCATTTTTTAAATTAGCTACTTTTTAAATCATTCAAAATCCAACAAATTAGTCTAACTAAAGTTTAATTTGGTTTGATTTGGAAAATTGATTGGCTTCTTTAATTATTTTTTAATCTTATAACTAAAATCAATTAGTTTAGCTAATTTGTAGATCAAATCATCCAAATCAATCAAATGCACATCACTTACTATTAGATGATGACTTAAATTAAGATTGGCTTAAATTTGACTCATAAACTCATCACACTTGGCTCATCAACTACTTACTGAGCTAGCTCATAAGTTCACTTAACTCAACTACATGTCAAATCAGGCATAACGAATAGAGAAGACGAACACAAGGGAAAGTAATATAGTACAAAGGAGCCCAAGCCATCCTCAATTTCACATTGACTAAATAATAAAGATCAAGTTTTTATTCCAACTCATTTCAATGAGATTAAACTAATTTTTTTTATAAAATAAAAAATGCAGAGAGGTAAAAAGAGCTATGAAAATTAAATTATAAAAAGAAATAAAAGTACAAGAGAAATAAATTAGAAATCAATAGGCAAAGAAGCTCTTATACCAACGTTCTTTAGAGATAACCTCCCCTTTCACCAAAACAATCTCCCACGAATATTTTCCTTCATAACACTCCAAAAAAAAATACAAGAGAAATAAATACCTTTTAAGTAAGATCTCATAGCTAACAAACTTCTTAGCCTCTTCATAAGATCCTATGATAAAACTAACTTGAAAATTATTTCAAAGAGGACTTGGTCGATGGTTTTATTAAGGAGGCTATGGTTAGATTGAATGAGCAAAAAAAATTTTGACTTAAGGTTAGGCGTTACTGTTTATATTTTGACTTAGTGCTGGGTTAATGCTTTGAGATATTTATATAACAATCTCAAAATTAACCTAGCATCACGACGCTAACTTCTCCAACTATATTGCACTCCCAATATTTTTTTTTTTTTCTAAAAATTTCTTATAAAGATAGACCTCAGCGCCACAACACCTCTCCCTCAACAACACAACGCTCTCAGCTCTCAAGTGCTTCAAATGAACAGAGAAGGCAATTTCACAACACTCCCATGGACTTAAATTTTATTCATCCAGGCAGAGTGCTTAGCGCCGCAATGTATAAAATTTTCTACTAAAATCAAATTCTTAGGAATTCATAAATACCTGAATAAACATATAATTCTTATCGGGTTTATTTCAAGTATACTATGTATTGTCGTAATGAATATTACAGTAATGATTATTTTTCAAAAATTCAGAATCATTATATCTTTATAGAACTTAACAACCAGCGGAGCTTAGCAATCAGCAAAGAGTCTATAGCAATCCATAAACATTAGTGGAATTCTGCTAATTCTGAAAGATATATTATTAACTAAATATTTTCCTTAAGCATGCTTCTAATCTTTTCTACAAAAAATTAAATTTACTTAATTTATTATATGTAGAGTCTTGTTGTGTCCAGGGGTATTCGCGGCGGTAGAGAAATATAAAGTTTATCGTCTTGGCGTTGTACGAAAATCCGGCACGCAATCAGATAAGGAGAGAGGGTCTAGCATTTATGAGACACCAAGATTTTTACGTGGAAAACCCCTGAAAAGGGGAAAAAAACACGGGGCCTAACCCAGTTTGAACGAATCCACTAGTATTTGCAATCGATTACAAATGAGGCACTTCCTTAGGAGAAAGCCTTAGCTTGATGTACATCTTATAGAGTACATTACATGATGTAAATACAAAGAGCTACTATTGACATATTCGCTTTGTTGGAAGGACTGTAGTCGGAGGGCAACGGAAGTCAGGAGGACCGTAGTCAGTTGGCGACGGAGATTGGAAAGACTGTAGTCGGCGGGCGACGTAAGTCAGGAGGACCGCAGTTGGCAGGCAACGGAGGTCGGAAAGACTGTAGTCGGCGGGCGACATAAGTCAGTAGGATCGTAGTCGACGGGCGACGGATGTCGGAAAGACTGTAGTCGGCGGGCGACGTAAGTCAGGAGGACCGTAGTCGGCTGGCGACGGAGGTCGGAAGGACTGTAGTCTGACGACGAAGATCAGAAGGACATCGTCAGGTAGAAGTCCAACAATGGAAAGAAATGCATCTTCGCATAGACATCCAGCGAAGTCCGATAACCGGTACAAGCCCGACGTCGGGTAGAAACTTGGCGAAGAGTGAAGGTGCGACGTCGGGTAGAATTCCGACGTCTGTTGGTGGCAGAGGAGAACTCTTGCCTCTCTTGGTCAGAGTTTCAGAGTCATGAGGGAACTCTGTCTTTAATTGAAAGGAAATTTCCACATCCCGTGGAAGTTGGGAAGAATTCCTGCGTTCTCCCCAATATCATGCAGAATCCCGTCGTGTTCGGGCGGCAGGAACATCTCCGACGGTGGTCGAGGAGGAGATGAATCGTATTTTCCCCTTTTTCTTCTTCTTGTCTCTCTTCACTTGAGTCCCTTTGGTGTAGAATGAGGGCTCTATTTATAGTTTTTCTAGGGTGGCATAGCCCGTAAATAGGCGTGAGATCAGGGGCGAATTGGGAGTGTTTTGAATGGACGGTTGATATTGAATCCTTTGATCATGCACCGTTCGTTGGGCATTTGAAGGCCTTGATGATGTCGGAATTCGGCGATCTTGGGCTCGTTGGATTCGTCTCGTCGAGCCGTTCGATTCGAGTATAAGCTCGTCAAAATCGGAGACCGTTTGGTAACTCAAATTGCGGTTTGAACCTTCCAACAGTGCTTTGAGCCCTTGATTCGGACTCATTTGGGCTCGGATTGGGTTGATCTTGGTGTCGTTGGGTTCGTATTTCCGAGACGCTCAGTTTGACTATAAGCTCGCTGAAATCGGAGTTTGGGTGCTCCCAAAATTAAATTTTGAAGTTTCCAACTAGCTTTTGCCTCGAGATTCATGCCCGATCAAGCTAATTTTGTGATGACGTACCAAGTCTTAATATTATTTAAAAAATAATCAGATTCGTAAGAAATATTATTTAAGGATATAATGTTACCAGATGACATGTTAATTTAGATATTTAAAATTATGTCGACATTACTAGCTTGCTTTTCATACTTATCTTCAAGATTTTTATTTTAGTTTGCTCTTACACATACTTAAACTTATTTTCCCAATCAATTTGGGATTGTTTTCTTGTGCTTGAGTTATCTTGATGATATATATTTCTCTTGTATACACTACATTGAAACCAATAGTACTATTTTCTCAATGATATTTGTGATCATTATAATCTAT